TAGGTAGTCATCCAGGCAGTCGAAGTGCACTTGCTCTGCCCATATTCCAGAGCAATCACACAGGCTGAGGAAGCACAAAGATGTGATTTGAGGTTGTCCTTGTGTCTGCAAAAAGTGATTTTCTTTCTTAACTCTTGTCTCCTTGATGTTAGAGCCTCCACAGCACTACCATGCATAGCTGCTTCCTCCAGGCCCAAAGCATTGCAGGTTCTACTCAGCCCTGTTGCAACCCTACTGATTTAGGAGGGATCTCAAGGCTGTAATTGGTGCAGTGGATGAGGGAACTCAGCAGATTCATTGCCAGAATAATTTAGTGCTGATGTGGCAAGATTTTTCAGCTGTAAGTGTTAGAAGGGATTTCTCACCTGTGTTGCATTACGAGTTTAATACCACCAGTGTGTGTGTGTGAGAACACCTCATGGAGCAGGACCATTTCATGGTTTAACGTTTAGTGTGTGTGTGTGAGAACACCTCATGGAGCAGGACCATTTCATGGTTTAACGTTTAGTGTAATGGGGTCCAATAAAATCATGTTAAAAGATGTTAATGTTGCAAAGAAAAACATCAGAAGCAAGGAAATGCCAGAATTAATATGGCCTGTGGAAATTCAGCTTCTTGCACATTATGGTGCAGATCTTATTACCTGACATCCTAGGCTTTCCAGGGGGTGTCTTTTTTTCCAGTGAATGCATAGTTAGATTTTTCTTTTAATGTTCCTCACTCTATCTTTGTTAAACATGAAGCATCCAAAGCCCAATTAATATAAAATCCTTTATCATGTAAATATTTATCATATACCTTTATTGCAGTTCTTTGCTGCCTAATAAATGCATATCTTCACAGTGACCTCAAATTATCAGACACTTTTAAAGTGTTCATATTTGAATTCTGATGAATCAAGTCAGGTGAAGGTAGAAATTGTATAAAACTTTGATTATTTTTAATAAAAGTTTAAGCCAGATGGGACTTTCATTTTTCTACATAAAACTAACATTTATATGCAATCTTCTAAGTTCAAAGTATATTTTCCCTTGGAAAATAAGCTTGGATCATTAATTAGGTCTTCTGTACAGCTGGAGTAGCAGAACTAGTCCATTGCTCTGGGCAGACTGGTCACTAATGACTTTTGTAATGAGTTTCACTGATATCTGATGAGTGCTTAAGGTCATGTTTGTGGTGTTAGTCCCAAATCTAGAAGAGAGGAGAGCAAACTGTGGTGTTCCATCTCAGCCAGTCCCAGTATTCGTCTTCTGTCCACACTGCACCCCTACCTCTGTCACATTTTTTTCATTTGGCTTCTGCTCTCCTCTAGTTTTGCCACCATGGAGAGCCCATTCTTCTTTTGTGCCCTGATTTCTGTTCCTTCTCCCTGTTCTTTTTTTCTCTGTTTTTCCTCCCTTCATTTGAGTCTACAGGGGTTTTTTACTTTCAGGGTACTGCCTGGCTACCCTGTACCCAGGGCACTGCACAGTGGGAGATGGAACTGACTAAGAGGGACAGTTTTGATAGTGTCAGATTTCCTGATGGCATGGGGTTCTCCAGGCACTCAGAAGTAATCCTAAGGCTTGTTCAGCACCAGCGTCTTTGAGATGGAGATTCAATGCAGATAGGGTCTTCAGAAATTCGGGACCCACACTATAACAGGAGTTCACCAACAGTGTGACAACAGGCCTTTTAGAATCTTACAAACTGAAATAAATGTGGACACCATTTCAGAGAAATTATAATTCCTGCGTATTGGTAATTCTCCCCCTCCCCTTTCAATTCTGGGATTTTGCCTCCAGCTTTCAGGCACTGAAGCCAATCAGCAGCATAATGACGTGACATTCAAAACATGAACACAGCAGTCTCTTCTCACAAATATTTGTATTTGAAGGTTTTTAGCTGAAACTTTACAAACATTTTGTAGCAGGCAACCAGAGTAGGAAAGTTCAGTGCAGTTCAACAGAATTCAAACTGAAACTAGAATCTTACTCTTGTGAATGATTCTCAACATGCATTTAACTAAAATGGTGAGAAAACCTGTGTAAACAGAGAGGGGGAAAGGAAAACAGAGCAGGAGTAAAGAAAAAGGTTCTTTTTATAGCATTTAACACATGAGAATGTAAATAAATGTGGTGTTAGCGAAAGTTAATTATTTTGAAAACAGTCAGCAAGGCAGATTAAGAGGTAAAACAGTGCAGCTGAAGACAAAGGAAACAATATTTAGTCTTTGATCAGACATTTTCACAGTGATTTTCTGTTCACCTTCAAGGGTGGCATAATTTTATGAATAACAGAATTTGTTTTGCTACTTGAGTAGCCTTGAAGAGAAATGGTGTTCATTCCATATGGCCACTTGAAAGAAAATCCCATGCCTGTTTGTCCTTTAAGAAATAACATTTGTATTTATTAAATCTTTTCTCACAAAGAGGGACCCTGAAGATACACAATGAAGTTTATATTTAGTCTTAGAGGACAAGCCAAATCTATACTCTATGCTTCTGCACATTTCTTCAGATCATGGATCATGATCACGGATGAACTTCATCATGTCTGTGCCAAGTAACAAACATGAAATACTCTCACTTTTTAAGCATTTTGCTTTCATTGCAATATTCTTAACTAATAAATAGTCAATTTCTTTTTCTCCCCAAGTTTATTGCATCACACAGGAAGTGAGTCTTTTTGATACAATTCCTCAGTGGCTTCTCTGCTATGACCTTGCAACTTTTATGAAAATTTATCAGTTGGGGTTTTTGGTAGTAATTTTTTGGGGGTTTTTTATGTTTAATATTAATTTATATGGATAAAGCATAATCTTTCAGATATTTAGATTGCTTTGTAATGTTGGTCAAAACAAAATGCAGTAGTTGAGTGAGCTGTGGTAGGAAAACTCATCCATGAGTATCCAATTACTGCATGATCCCTACCCAGGAAAACTAAGGGTCTTAATATATGCTGCTTATGAAAAGTGCTCAGATTATGTTAATGTGTGCTGGAACTATCTTTGGGCTTCTGTGGTAGTTGCCCACCACAGGACATGCTGTCACTTTGCAAAATTCAGGTGTTGGGATGTCTAGGTGACAGACTCTCCAACAGCTGATTAATCATCAGTGGTTGAACTTTCCTGACCTGGGGAGTGAGATCTGAGCCCCAGTGCATATGTGGGAGACAGTGCTACTGGTGGCAACCACAGAACAGAAAAGAAATTGGAAAGGAATGTATAAATACCAGTCAATTTAAGAGCAAGGAGATAACAAAAATACGCTGGAAGTGATAGTATGCTAAAGGGACGTGGAAAAAGAAGATCTAGGGATTATACTATATAGCTACTAGGCATATACTTACTTTTCTAATTAATTTTACTTATTGTATTTTATAGCTCTCAATACATTATGTTTTCAGTAATTTTAAATTATATTTTATATGCGAAATGAAAATATTACCTTTCTGGTCAAATCTCTATGACTCAGTTGAGACAAACTGCTTCTGAAATTAAAACACGTCCTGTCAAAGAGAGGCTGTTGTAATTTCAGTGTCTTTAAATTATTTTGAATATATTTTTTGAACAGTTCCCTCTGACACTGACATACTCAGGAGATACTCAGTACAATAATCTGAATTCCTATTTCTCATGTTTGTATGTAATGCACACTGAAGGCATTTTTCATGGCAGATGGTCATATGCTTATATATCTGAAGTATTTTACTGTATTTCAGATGTTATGCTACTTTAATAACAATGTGGTTAACATAAAACTATAGCAATGATGTTTGCACCTGAATGTTTATGAAATACTGCCTGTCAGGTTTGGGTTTGTGTGAGCTCTGACTGTGTCTCGTGCTCTGAGTGGCTCATCTCTATGAGTGATGTTCCATGGCATTCAGCTGAGGGAACTTTTATATATATATATATATATATATATATAATATTCAGCATTAGTCAAATCCTTTTTTCTGTTGGGCCTGGTGAGTGTTTTGTCATTTGTCAATAACTTCAATAGAAGTGAGTCAAAGTCACTTTTTTTTCCTCTGAAATACTTTTAAAGTAGCAAAAAAGTATAGAAGAGTTTCTTGATGCAAGGTATCCTGAAACTTGTCATTGAACTTGCTGTTTGTAAAGGGAATTTTTTTTCATTGTGTCTCTCACAATAAGTGAGCCTCAGTGAGCAATATTTCTAGGTGGCTTTAAAACTGGAACTTCGAAACCTCCCACAGAGCCCTGGACTTTGCATTAGCAAGCTAGCAAGCAAAATGTTTTTTCCTTTGCTGAAAATGCAAGTAATTTAGATTACCAGAAGGTACAATTAAATTTTTGGTGGAAATCATGAAGATCCCAAGGAGATACCTAGTCTGCAAGAGAACAGTTTTCTAATAGTTTTTTTTTTTTTTGACAGTGATGGATTTTATCACCTCCAATCAGCCTACAACAGAGTATTGCGGAAATCAAGTTGGAAGCTAAAATTCTTTTTATGTACTTATGTCTTGCAAATATGAGTGAAAACAGTGCATGTATTCATTGGTGCAATAGGAAAATATAGTTAACATACAGTTAGCAGATTCACAAAATTAAAAATACCATATGAATTATTTAACTAATGGTGCGCTTTGCCCCAAAACCTGGTGTTTATTATTTTGAGCTTTAGCAGGAAACAGAAGCAGTATCAATTGGGGAAACATTTCTTGGCCAAGCTGAGAACAGTATGGCTTTCTCATTTCAAAGTGGGGAACCTGGTTCTTTGGTTTCTTTGTTCCTAGTTAAGACTACTCCCCAAGCTATTTTAGCTGAACATTTAACCCACTAATGGAGCCTGGGGAAGTGCAGTTGGCAGCTGTTCATGGGATAATAATGAAACACACTGTTTAGTATAGCAAACCACTGCTGTAAAGTGCGGGAAATACTTTATAGAGATCCCGGTGAGCAGAGCAGGATCCGCTTTAAGTTCTGCTGTGATGGGAGGGGGCAAGAGGAAGTTGTGTTTCAAGTGAGAGTAACCAGCACTACTTTGCTCCTGCAGGTGAAGAAGCCGTGTCCAGAGTCCGATGGTTCAGAGCCGCAGAATCCCAGGTATGGTGCTGGAGGGCTGACGCTGACTGACTGCGGTGTGGTGGCGGAGAGCGAGGCTGAGCTGTGCCATGGATTTGTAACATCAGAGCCCTGGAGTTGCATTTTGCAAAGAATGAGTGGTTGGATCAGTTGTAATGGTTTTCACTCTAGAAAAGTGATTTTTCCCTTTTCCCGGTCAAAGATGCAGCCTAGAGTCTGGGCTGTTGAGTTTAGATGATGGCATAGCAGTGAATGGTCACATTCAATTAAAAAACAATCCCAGCTATTAAATAGTGTAGGGAAATCTGTGTGATCAGATCTCACTTTCTTCAGTTATCCCTTTTCTGCATATCTGAGTCTTGAGGTTTATTGAAAATATCGTTTATTCCCAGTGTGGAAAACTAATTATTTATTTGGGAAAATTTGCTCTTACTAAAACTTCATTTTGTTTTCACATGTGAAAAACATGCTGTGTTCATAAGCTGGAAAGAAGCCATACATTCCTTTCCAGTACAGTCATTTCTAATATCATGTACATGGGAAAAAGGAAGCAGATTTAACTTCCGTGTTTTTCACATGCATGTATGTATATGGATAATTTTGAGCAAGTGAAGTAGTAGCTGTTCTAGATGTGCATCTTCCTGGTCGTTAGTAAACTGGTGAATAGTTTTCTTCAATATTTAGTGAGAGCTCCTTGTCTTTGTCTTGCTTCTGTATAGAAGACTATTTCAGTGTCATAAAAGCTCAGAAGCTTTCATTGTGAGAGGAGAGCCACAAAATAAACCTGACATTTCCCTAACATTGTCAGTAAAACTCAGAAAAGTTAAATAATCAAGGTTTGCCCCCCAAACCTATCCTTACCTATATTTTAACTATGTTCCTTAATTATTGCAGTAGGATCCTCTGCGGGTCATCTGCAGCATCCAAGGCCATTGTAGTACCTGTGCCTTGAGCTGCACTATGCACCATCTGAATTTCTTTGATTAGCTCATGTCTGTTATTAATATGTATTTTCATTTAGTTTGGTTAGAACTGAAAAGGGAGGAGATAGTTCAATGTCCAAGTATGCTTTCAGTGTAGTCAGTAGCAGTTTTGACCTGGACTTCAGTGGAAACCTGCTTTGCCCTTCAGTACTCACAACTTCTAAATGAAAAACTTATTTGCTGTGCTGCTGCTTTGGAATGAAATTTATTATAAAAGTCAAGTTCTTGCTGAGTGTTTTGACACCATGGAGAATCCTAGTGTAGCCTAACCCTCATATACAAGTGCGTAGTTTTGAGTGTCGTGATTGCCCAAATGAGACTATTGTAATTCAAGCCTTTAAAATCCATGAATTCCAGTGTGATGTAATTTCATCAAAGTGTGATGAAAACAAACTGCAACAAACCTGAGGACCCAGAATGCAATGTACTGTTACTATCTCTGCACATCAGGAAATTTCTTACAAGCTATAGTTAAATTCTTTGTGCTGTGTCTGAGGAATGAGATACTTTTCTTTTTCTCCTGAATGTGCAAGAGAACCCATGCTACAAATAGTTAATAAAGCAGTTTCATTTCTTGAAGTGCATTTTCAAACAGAAACACTTTTCATTTTGAGCTCTGCAGCCTCAGTTGGAGGTTATATCAGACAGAGCTGGAATTCGTGTTCCAAGCCTGAGCATATGCCATGCTGTGTATACAGCCTGAAGTGGGATTTTTGGGTTGCTATGTGAGTTTTGGTCTTGGAGGGGAATCTCTGACAGACCTTGGGCTGGAGCAGCACTAGAGGGCTCTGTGTGGCACATCACACTTCAGAGCCTGGAGCAAGGTAATTCTTCTCTAAACAAGGCTTAAGTGAAAACACTGCGCATAAAATGAAACATCAGCATAAAAATGAATGCTGGAGACACACAGCCTTACAGAATAGCTCCTGGCTTGGGACCTAAGGCCAATATCATTCATTTATTTAGCTAGCTTTATAGTCTGTTAGTTTTGGATTTGAAACTATTACAATAAATGCAGATGGAAAGTGTTTTTACAGTAGGGAAGTAATTAAATTGGGTGTGGGAACCTTGTCAGGAGAATTCTTGGAGTGACATGTGTGTATCAGCAGATTCTTTGTCTTGCTTGGCCTGGGTTTGTCTTTTAGAAAGAAGCAGTCAAACTGCAGATGTGACTACTAAATTTTTTAAGGTATATACTAACCTATGCAGCATATAAAAAAATGCTTTTCAGAAGTGACCAGCTATACCTGCAATAAAAATCAATCTTGTCAGCATTTACTTAGAGAAAGTGCTTGTTGTCTTAACAGACAGGTAAATTGCACAGAGGGAGAGGGATCTGTAGTTAAAAATTGAAGTTACGGTGAATAGGTGAGTTGTAAACACAAAAGGAAGCATGATTCTTCAATGTCGCTGACAGACATTTTGATTCACAAAAAATTTTGTCTTACACATTCTGTCAGAGTTATTTGGGAATTTTTTTATCAAATCCCTATGAAGGGGTTCTGAATACTTTCTTTTATACTTAGGTGGTGGCATTATTCCTTACAGTGGTGGTGTTGTGGCTGTATCAATATTATGGCATTCTTTCTTCATAATTCTATAGTAAAAGCCAAAGTCTGCAAGCCTCGATAGTCATCCAGGCATTCAGAATGCTGGTGTATCACACACCAACATTCTGGGGATGTTGGTGTGTGATACAGAGGCAGTGAATACTTGGGACTTGCCTGTTCCACCGCAAGTCTGGAGCAGGCTAGAGCAGCATGATGGACAATTCTGACATGCTGGCTCTGTATCAAATTCACTAGCAAGGTTAGGGAGAGAAGTTCCTGTCTTCAGAGCCTACAGACATACATTGCTCTTAATTTTCTTACATGACAGGTAATTTTAAGATGTTATCAATCCCAAGTGTGCTGAACTGCTCCTTCGTGAAATTTAATGTCTTACAAGAATTGCTGAAGTCTAATGCAGTGCTTGAAAATTAACTTGTTTGCAGTTATCAACAAAATTCCTTTTTACCTTAATAATAAAAAAATCCATTTTAATTCTAATAAGGAAAAATTTTGTTACCCTAAAATCTGTAAGCTATGCTTAAAACCTTATACCATGTGAAATGCTAGAATACGTGTTATTCTGAAGTCTGGTAAAATCCTAAATATGAAGTCCGAGACTCCTGCTCACACTCAGCAATTTGGCCACACATCCCAGGGCAGCATCTTTCTTTGACATAGCAGTCTGCTTGATGAATGCATCTCTCCTACCCCCAAATCCTCCTTCTCATACCACCAGGCCTGCCAGAGATTCCACTGTAAGGCCAAAGTCATGTCTGGAATTGAGGCATGAGAGTAACTATTGGTTTTTCTGGGCTATAAAATGAAATAGGGAGGATAGAAATTAAATGAGGGAATGGAAGTCACTGCAAGTGGAAATTCATCAGGGTCTTCTACTGCTTCCTCAAAGTTCACTGATTGTAGGAAAAAAAACAATGTTTTTTTTACCATCTGGAGAGGATGGAAGACTGCAGCAGAAGAAAGAGATTTTTCTGACAGTTTAAACACAGTTTCTTTTTTTCTTGGAAGGGTAAAGGAAAATGGCTGAATATTTCACATACTTTCCTTCTTTAAGCTATGATATTTATGTTGTGATGAAGCTATCTATAGTAAGAAAGGGAAAACTTGAAGGTTTCAATGAGTAGTTTTGTAAGTTAGGGATAAAAGTAGCTGACAAATCAATTTAGGAATACTTAGGATACACAGTGTCAAAAAATACATTACTCATGTATTTGCAGAAGGGCGATAGATTTTTGTACTAGTAAGTTAAAATTAAGCCCCACAGAGCAAGAAGCCCTCCACTTTATTGCATGATTTTTACTACAAACCTGTGGATCCAGTATTTACAGTAATATCCATACTTCCTGACTTTTCCTTTATATATTTAAAAAAAAAATTAAAAATCTAAAAGCAAAGGAAAAGGAAATTAAGGCTGTCTTAAGTAAATCCTCCCATTAAAAAACTTTATCAGATGCTGTAAGAAGAGTGTAAATCAGGGGCACTGCAGTTACTGCATTGATACTGGTTAGATGGGGTTCATGCCTATGTGTTACCAAACCACAAATTCACCAGTGATGATCACTGGTAAATATTGAATCATATGCACAGATCAAGTTGCCAGATAAAGCAGTTATCCAAAAAAGCTCACAGGGGTTTTTTATGTGTTTAAAAAGGCCTCCAATATTTCAATTCAATACGGGTTTCAGTGAGGTTGCTAGCATAGGTTGCAGCTGTTCATCGGATGATTGCTGTTCTGTTCTTCAACACCCACGCTTCTATGTGCACCACAAAGTAAGATTTAAAAGATACTAATTCCTGTTTCTGTTTCATCTTAAAAGTCTTTCTTAAAACTTTTGAATGAGAAGGAGGCTTTCACATTTTCTCACTGGTCTCATTTTGATACCTACTCATGGTTTTTAATTGGTCAGGATATGAAGTGCACATACACATCCAGAGTCAATTATTGTCCTTAATGCATTCACCAGTAAATAGATGGTATTAAGTGTCAGTGAGTGCTACCACAGTTTTCCTATTCACTTCTCTGGACCAAAGTTTGTTTCCTCTGCAGTTTGGGCTCACTGTTGTGGATGCAATGTTCACTAGTTCACTGGATCTGAGCTGTGCTAGTGCTGCATGTATGCATCGCCAGACAGTGTTTCCATGACCATTCATACACTTTAAAAAAATTAAAATAAAAGTAACATAAATCTTCTGCATCTTATTCCAGACAACCAGATAATCATGTTTCATGCTTATCGATTTCAACTAAAATACACCTGAGATTTCTCCCACCAACTAATTCCCTCAACAAGACCTTAACAGTCTTCTTTCAGTCAGGCATTGGCTTTCAGTCAGGCATTGGCTGGCCCATATTTACCAGCTCTAACACTCTAACCTCTGAGCCCAAATCCAAGCTTTACAGGCACCTGACAGATTCTGTGATGAAGCTTTCATGCCTTTTCCATGACTTTGAAAACATCTGACCATCTGT